AGCCTAATTAGCAAGTTAATTATAGCGAGCAGGGAAATGTTCTGGTTATATAAATAAGCTATTGTTATGCACACACAAGCCGGGCCACGCTAAAAAACCGCCGCTGAGTGTCCAGAGGTCAGGAAAACGCTGTAATTCAGCATAAAACAGAAGTAGGGCTTGTTCGACGCGACGCCTCATTAAGTCTTGGGGGTCCTTCCCTGCCAAAATTAAAAAAAAAAACAAAAAACAAACAAAAAACCAAACCAGGGAGCCTGAAAATCCCAGCGGTTCCTTCCCCTCCCTCTCTCCTTCCCTCCCTCCCTCCCTCCCTCCCTCCAGCCCGGGGGCAGGATGGGGATCGGCGGGGGCCGGGAGGTATAAATTGGGGGGGCAGCCCCTGCCCCGGTGGGAGACGGCGCCGAGGGGGCCGTGGGGGATGCCATCATGCCAAACAAGAAGAAATACAACGTCAACGGAGATTCGGGGATTAAAGCCCAGGTGAGGGCAATCTTTAGAACCAGAATATCTTTTTTTTTTTCCTATTTAAAAAATCCATTCGTTTCTCTCTATCCCCCTTTTTCCCCCCTCTCCGTTCCTCCTGTTCCCCCCCTCCCCAATCCTCTCTTTCTGGAGAGACAAATCCCAGTCTCTGGAGGACTTCTCTTCAGTTCTCAGGAGGTTTGAAAGGAGGAAGGGTTGAGATGGACACGTTGCTCCGGGGCTGTTCTTTCGGAGGAGTCGATGGGTTTTGGGAACGGGGAGATTTCCTGGGAAAACCTCAGATGAGGAGGGTTGGGTTTTTTTTCGGTGAAGTAAGCTAGAGCAGCTCTTCGTGGTGGAAACCCCAGGTCAAAGTCATTTGAAATGTGATGAGCACCTGCATTTAGAAGCCATTAACCCCTTGTGCCCCCGGAGGTGAGGTTTTTCAGCTTGGATTGGGTGGGTTTTTTGGCATTTGTGTGGCTGCAGAGCAGGTCGGACACCTAAATCCCAGCATCTCCACCTCTCAAAGGCTTCATGGTCTCTCCTTTGAGCTTCAGCCTGTGCAGAGCTGGTTGTTGCCTTCAGAAACGCTTTGGTTTGAGCTGAACAAGTTCAATCTGGAACCAAACCTGTCTTCTCGTCCCCACCTCCATTGCCCCCATCTTTCCAGCCGGGCTGTTGTGCCGTCGCCCCTCGGTGGGGATTTCAACCAGGTTTTCTCCTTCTGGTTGGGTTGAGCACGTGTCGTTGAGATTCCAACTCCAAAAAGAAGGTGTTTTGTGGAAACGGGCTTAAGGGTCCGTTCCTGCTGGCACTTTGGACCCTTCACGTGTCCATGCCACGTGAAATCCTGCTCTGAACGAGGGGGGGATGCAATAAATGTCTTCAATAAAGCAAATTCTGGCATCCATTACCCGCTCGCTCCGTTCTTCCAAGGATAAAGCCAAGAGATGTTGGCGAAGGGTCAAGGCCAGCTAAAAGCAGAGCTGAGGAGATGACCTGAGGAGATGCCTCATCCCCACGTTCTCCTCTTCCGATGCCTCCTTCCACCTCCTGCCAGCCAGTGCCAGGCTCAGCTAAAGCCAAACCCGGCTTCTGGCAGCATTTAAAGAAGGCTTTAAACCCTCAAAGAGGTTTAGGGCAGGGTTTTTTTTATAAAGTCTACTTCTAGTTCTGCCAAATTTGGCCCAACTCACTTTGCTTTTCGGCGTGTACTTGCCCATCAGTCTTGGATGTGGAAGCGCTTCGAGGGCTCCGAACGTGGTGATGGATATTTACTGTGTGGCTTGAAGTAGTTGCGTTGAGAGTCTCCTTGAAGAGATGGTGTGGGAAAGGAAAATGTTAATTATAATGTGAATTATTCGCCCTTTTGTTAGAATTCCAGCCTGTCCCACTTGGCCGAGAGCGTCGCTTCGTGCACAAATAACCTGGTGCTTTGATGAAGCTGCTCAGCTGTTGAGGGATTTGTTTTAAATGAATTTTAAAAAAAAATAATAATAAAAAGAGAAGTTATTTCAGGCCAGCAGCTTCTTAGAAAAGGAATTTAAAAAAAAATGGAGTGTGTGTGTGCAAAGACCCCGTCCCACCGGGATCAGGGGTGTTAATCCGTAACGTAACTCCTGGCTGTAATACGAGTTTGACGTGGGTTTATTTTTCTCCCCTGTGTGTTTCCTGATCCGGTGTCGTTCTGTTCTTTGGCTTAAGATTAGCAGGGAAAAAAAAAAGAATAAAAAAGCTTCCAGGTGCTGCTGCAAATCCTCCCCATGGCCCTTTCCCCCCTCCCCGGTGGTTTGGGCTGGCTGTCCCCAGGTCGGCTCGGACTTGGCTTCACAGAATTACCCACCTGAGATGCCCAGTTACCTTTTTCCTTCTCTTACTGGCCAAAAAAACAGGTTCTGGCTCTGTGGCATCACCAGCTTCTACTTAAACCAACTGAGCTTGAGTCTGAGTTCCCAAAATGGGACCAAGTTCTTCACAGAATCCCAGAATCACACAGAATCACAGAATGATATGAGGTTGGAAGGGACCTCTGGAGATCATCCAGTCCAACCCCCTGCCAGAGCAGGGGCACCCACAGCAGCTCCCACAGCAACGTCTCCAGGGGGGTTGGAATGTCTCCAGAGAAGGAGACTCCACCACCTCTCTGGGCAGCCTCTGCCAGGCCGCTGCCACCCTCACACCAAACAAGGTCCACCTCATGGTGAGATGGAACTTCTTACATTCAAGTTTGTGCCTGTTCCCTCTTGTCCTGTCCCTGGGCACCACTGAAAAAAGCCTGGCCCCATCCTCCTGACACCCACCCTTGAAGGATTTCGAGGCCTTGATCCCCCCTTAGTCTTCTCCAGACTAAACTGACCCAAGTCCCTCAGCCTTTCCTCAGCACAGAGATGTTCTCATCCCCTCACCATCTTGGGAGCCCTTTGCTGTCCCCTCTCCAGCAGTTCCCTGTCCTTGCTGAACTGGGGAGCCCAGCACTGGTCCCAGTTCTCCAGCTGTGGCCTCCCCAGGGCAGAGCAGAGGGGCAGGATGACCACCCTCCACCTGCTGGCCACGATCTTCTTGGTGCCCCCAAGGATGCCCATTGCTGGCTCCTGGGCATCCTGTTGTCCACCAGAACTCCCAGGTCTTTTTTTTTTGGGGGGGGATGACCTGCTGGAGAGCAACTCTGAGGAAAAAGACCTGGGGGTCCAAAAAGACCTTTATGGTTAGGTGACTTCTTTAATCAAAACTAACTTCTCCACATACCCCAAGGCGTTAGTTAATAGACCCAATTAATGGCTTTCAGTATTTTGGAGATGTAAATATTTAATCCCGTTGGTCCGGATTGAGTTGGTTTATGCTTGAGATAAAAATACTTCCTAAAACAATAAACCTGTTCTCCTGAGTTCTTAAATATGGTCCATATCGAGAGGATTGGAAGGGACGTTGAGCTGGTGGTGTGGTTCCGAGACATGTTGTGTCCCCTGGGCTCCGAGCCATTCCAGTGTCCGTTGAGTGGGCAGTGTCGTCAAAAAGGACATTGAGGTGCTGGAGCATGTCCAGAGGAGAGCCACCAAGCTGGTGAGGGGTCTGGAGAACAAGGAGAGGCTGAGGGAACTGGCCATGTTTAGTTTGGAGAAGAGAAGGCTGAGGGGAGACCTCATTGCCCTCCACCACCACCTGAAAGGAGGTTGTAGAGAGGTGGGTGTTGGCCTCTTCTCCCAAGGGAATAATGACAGGACCAGAGGGAATGGTCTGAAGCTGGGGCAGGGGAGGTTTAGATGAGGTATCAGGAAGAATGACTTTCCTGAGAAGGTGGTCACCTGCCCATGGAGGTGGTGGAGTCACCATCCCTGGAGGTATTGAAGAAACGTGTAGACGTGGCTCTTCAGGGAGTGCTCTAGTGCCTGAGATTGTTGGGTTGTGTCTGTTTCTGGGTTTTTTTGGTTTGGTTTGGTTGGGTTTTTTGTGTGGTTGGACTCGATGATCTCAAAGGTCCCTTCCAACCATGAAGATTCTGTGATTGTGTGATTCTGAGATGTGTCTGATGCCGGTGACGCCCCTCAGGGTCGGGAGATGAAGGTTGGCGCTGATGCGAGCAGAGAATCCTTGAGACAAGTTTGACCCAAGGTGCACATCAAGGGACCATGGAAGGGTTGAGTTTCTACTGTAAAATTACTAATAATCTGTAAGAGCAGATGTTTGGTTTATGTGAAAATCTGGATCTGGGCAGTTTATAGTCAGGAAATAGTGATTTTTTGGCCTCCTTGCTCTTCAGCCGAGGGCAGGAGTGAAATGAAGCTTGGAGAAAGAGGTTCTTCTATGAATATCAACATTAAATGTCATTTTCCCCTTAAAAGTGCCTGGATAAAAGTGCATTTCTTCACTTCTCTCTTCTGTCCTCATCATGCTTTGGAGCAGACCAGCTTTGCTGGCTCAAAACACGGGTTTATCTCTGGGCTGGGCAGTTCCTACGGCCGTAACACGGGTTGTGCTGAGCGTGGTGGTGCCCAGCTCCTCTCAGACCCTCTCCTGGGCTTGGGGCTTCACAGATGGTCCTGGGGAGGCTGAAACCTCGTTTCTTGGCGATGACTGAAAGGGAAAAGGGCTTGATTCTTCATCCCGGGTTGAGCAGGTGGCTGTTTGTCATCCCCAATGACTGGTCACAGTGGTCTCATACTGGTCACCACAATAAACGTCGCAGGATGGGTCTGAAGATGTTGGGTGGCCCTAACGGGGCTCCTCCTGCGATGAACAACCCTTATCATTAGATTGTAGAGAAATTAATTTGTAACGGGGACGGAGCTTTCTAATTTCTGTGGTTGGAAGAGGTATTTAAAAGACAAGTGTTGTCGATGCTGCCTCTGAAATTAAACAAAACAGGCAATTAGTGTGCCTTGTCCCCAATTAAATGATGGGAATTGCGATTCAGCCCGTAGCCGAGATGGTGTCGGGGTCTGCTGGAGGCTTTGGGTTCTTGAGATTAATCTTCTGTGTTGGTTTTTGATTGTTGGTTTTTTTAACGCCCGGCTTTAACCGTGGATTTCTTTTAACAGATCCAATTCGCCGACCAAAAGCAAGAATTCAACAAGCGCCCGACGAAGATCGGCCGCCGGTCGCTCTCCCGCTCCATCTCGCAGTCCTCCACAGACAGCTACAGCTCAGGTGTGTGCCCTCAGAGCCAGGATTATGGTCCTCTTTATGGTCGTCATGGAAAGTTTAAGATTATTTAAAAGCAAGCTGAAATCTTCTACAGTTTTGCATGGTTAGGCAAAGTTATAGAGTTATGCTCCTACGAGGAGCAGGGGGTTGGACTCGATGATGCTCATGGGTCCCTTCCAACTTGAGATCTTCTGTGGTTCTGTGATCAGCTCCATCCTCTTACAGCATCTCTGCAGACCCCAGGGTTGATCCTGCAGCACCTCCAGGATCTCCCAGTTGTGCCGTGTCATCGGCAGCATTGGAGGAAGAGCTCAGGAAGAGGGTTCTTCCTTATTTTTTTATCTTTGTGTATAGTTGGATGGAAGATTAAGTTATTCTGCTGCTCTTAACACTTGTGGTCCCTCCTTATAGCCCTCATGTGTGGTCGTTGCTGGTTTTCCTCCTCTCTTCCCCTTCCTTCTCCTTCCAGGCTCAGCAAAACAATACTGTGTGTCATCCACCCTTCCTGGTCTTGAATAAACCCCTGTGGATCTCACTGTAGTTTGGGTCTCACCCGTTGCACGTGAAATTTGGAAGAGCAATGGTGGCTTTTGAGGGCCACGGGTGTCTTCTGTGTTTTTCCTGCTGGATCCTCTGAAATGAAACTTTTGGCGAGCGATGGACTTGCTGTTTGGTCTTCTCAGCTGCACTTAGGGGGACTCGCTAGGGAGGGACATTGGGTTCATTGTTTGGGGTTTTTTTTTTTATTTTATTATAAATTTCAGGGCTTTTCTGAAATCCCAGGTGTATTTATGAAGATTGGTTGTGGAAACTTGATTTTTCTGGATTAGTATTTGGTGATTTGCACAGCGATATCCAGAAACCTTCAGGCTCTGGTCCCACCAGCAACAGGCTCATTCCTTTGAGGACGTGGCACAGCAAAGTCTAGTTTTTTCCTTCGTAGGTGCTCAAATTGGTTTGTTTTCTTCGAATATGCGTCATTTTCAATGTAGACAACTGAAACTTAACTTCTGGAGCAGCCCATGAAGGTTTTGTAAAACCCAACCAAAGGCAGATCCCCATGAAAACCAGACTTAATTTCATCGAGTGCCTCGTTCATCCAACACTCGGCGTTTAGAAATCAAACATTTAGCAATCAAACATGTAACATTTAGAGCTGAGGCAAAAAAAAAGCAGCGCAAGGAAGTCCTGGAGAGAAGTCTGCTGGTGGAAATGGGCATTTTTTTCCTTACAGAAAAGGGCACAGCTTTGAGATAATGACCCCTAAAACCTACCTTGACTTTGAGTGGGGAAGGTGAAGCTGCCCAGCACTTTGCAACCAGCCTCTAGCATGGGTTTGTTCATCAAATAAGTCCCTGTGACCACAAAGTGCTGAGGAAACTGGGTGCCACCACACTTCCCAGCACGTAGGAACGTCACCAGGTCGTTGGGTAAAACTTCATGCCCCCAAGTGGCACCTTCAGCTGAATTTATCCTAGTCCAGTAACACCCATGTGGGACCAGTATCGTACCTCACCTTTTAGTCTCCTCTTCTCTTTGTCTCTGAATGCGTCGTTACTGGAGCTGGAGACCTTATGTCACTTCAGGAGTTGGTTATGAGGACAGTGGCTTTCCAGGGATAGGAAGAGGACACCAAGGATGCTCTCGGATTGTTCAGGATAGGTCCATCCCGGATCCTTGGCACTTTGGAGGGAACACTGCTTGCTACTTGCAATGTCACAGCTACTGTCCTCGCTGAGACCCTCACAGAAAGGAATTTGGATCCAGTTCCCCATCCCTCAAGGAATCTTAATGCCTCTGATCCCCTCCTGGTCCTGGCCCCTTGGAGAAGATGCAGAAGAAACCAGCTTCCAACGCAAATCTACAAGGAATGGAGATGTAAGCGACTTGAAACTGGAGGAGGTATTATTCCTCTGTTCCTCACGGCTGTGGAGGCAAAGGATCAGGTCTTTCTGGTGATGTGTACCAAAACTTGTGATGGAGTACTCAGGTGGGTGTTCAGGTTGGTGGCCAAGTTCTTGCAGAGGTCTTGCTTTATGCCAGAACCACGGGGAATGAGGAGCATCCACGATGAAGCTCCACCACAGCCCTTCACTTAGTCCCTGTCCGTGACACGGATGCGTTTTTTGGATACTTGGCAGGTGGCAGAATATTTGAGGAGAATCTGAGCCTCAGAGACCACAAGAGCTCAAAGGTCCATTCAACCCTGACTTTCCCAGCTAGACACCTTGTGTATGACAAGAAATACTTCTGGTTTGGGGTAGATCATAGAATCATAGAATGGTTTGAGTTGGAAGGGACCTCAAAGATCATCCAGTTCCAACCCGCCTGCCCTGGGCAGGGACATCTCCCACCAGACCAGGTTGCTCTAAGACCCATCCAACCTGGTCTTGAACCCCTCCAGGGAAGTGTTGATGAACGTTGGTTCATGGTTTTTTCTTGACTTGTCAGGAGAAGATGTGCAGAGCTCCTTGTGAGCGAGCAGCAAAGCGTGGAGCGATCCTCTTTGCCAGCACAAGCAATGAGCTAGATGCCACCACTAAAAGGGGACCAGTAGAAGGTTGAGGAGCCAGCAGAAGCCTGAGAGGTTTAAACAGAGACACTTTAGCTCTGTTAAGTGTAGAAAACCTCCGTGAATGCAGGATCCAGCTCCTGGCTGACTGTTGCAAAGAGATACCGTGCACAGAACTTGCACCTGAGCCTGGGACATGGGACAGAAGTCTTCTGACATAGGGATGGAAAGCCTCCTGTGTGTTTCTCTACTCATTTCCTGGATTCTCAGGATATCACAGGTGAGCTGGGCCAGGACCACACTGTGACAACCCAGTAGGTTGAGGGTGTATTATTGGTCCTGCCCATCTCCCATTCCTTCTGGGTGTAGCATATCTGAGGACCACAGTCCAAGTGGACGACTGAGCCGCATCTATGAGAAGTGGCTTTGTGGTGTTGTCCGTAACAGGTCATTGCCAGTGTGCTACATGAAGAAACATGATGAGGACCTACAAGCTTTTCACATTTTTCAGCAACCCAAGTTTAGAAGAGTGAAAGTAACTGGTGGAAAAGACTTGGTTATCCAGTCCTCTCTGCTCCTGGCAGAGGAAGGTGCCCCGTTTCCAGAAGAGGCAACTGCTGGAGGTTGAGATCTGGTCTTGGGCACATGAACAGCGAAAGGATGCACAGTCTGATGACTTCACCCTGGTTCCTGTGGAATGAGCAACTGTTCTTTGCCTTCTCTCCTGGTTATTTCTTCTTACATGCTGCCTTCCACGCTTGAAGTGGAGCTTGGAGGAGCTCCATCAAGGCTGGGGACAACCTGGTTTGACCCATCACCCCTACAGCGGTTGTGTTCCCACATAAAGGGCTTTTAGGAGAACTTGAGGAACGTTCACTCCATGTCCTCTCCAGAGAGACATCAGCCTGGGCTCTGCTTCCACTTTGAAAGCCACCTGGATTGTGTTTCTAACGTTATCACCTTCGGCAGCGTGTTTTAAGCTGGCACTAACGATTTAGACTTCTCTTAACACAGGTCTGTGATTAATATGAAGCTTGTCCAGGTTGTACAACTCCATCCCATATCTCATCAGCAGGGTCTATTTTACAATTTGTCATTTGTAAAGACTAATTGGCTGATCAGCCTGGTTAATGTCATCGTGTTTGCTCGTCGCTCCCAGCTGAAAGAGCTCGGAGCAACTTTGGGGAATTCTCCTCCACCCCTTGCACTTAAGTGTCTCCTGTGAAAACATCAGCAATTGCAATTAATTAGCTCGTGAAAGTATTATCTTTCCCTCCTAATGAAAGGCTGACAGTCAAGACAGAAGACCTGGTTGCCGGATGGGTAGATAAAATCCCATTAGTACCTCTCGACGTGGATCTTTGTCATCCTCTGTTAAGGACTGAGCAGGAGCAGAGTCAGAAGAAGCCATTAAGGCCTCCTGGGATGGGAAAAGGCTGGAAAAGAAGCAGCTCGAGGAACAGAGAGATGATAATGGAGGGGAAACATCATAGAATCATACAGTCATTTAGGTTGGAAAAGACCCTTAAGATCATTGAGTCCAACCATTGAACTACCACTGCCAAGTCCACCACTAAATGATGTCCCTCAGCACCACGTCTGCCCAGCTTTTAAATCCCTCCAGGGATGGTGACTCCACCACTGCCCTGGGCAGCCTCTTCCAAGGTTTCACAACCCTTTTTGGTCAATAAATTTTTCCAAATATCCACCCTAAACTTCCCCTGGTGCAACTTGAGGCCATTTCCTCTTGTCCCATAGCCTGTTCCTTGGGAGAAGAGACCGACCCCCCCTGGCTACACCCTCCTTTCAGGGAGTTGGAGAGATGAGAAGGTCTCCCCTCAGCCTCCTTTTCTCCAGGCTGAACACCCCCAGCTCCCTCAGCCGCTCCTCACAAGACTTGATCTCCAGACCCCTCACCAGCTCCGTTGCCCTTCTCTGGACACGCAAGAGTCCCAAGGTTTAGAGGTCTTCCCAGGCTTGGTGGGAAGGGAGTTGTCCCAGCATATCTGCCCAAAATGATGGGGAGGTGCTGGTGCCATTTTAGTGATGCAAGAGAGGCCTGGGTGTGGAAACAGCATCTCTGCAAACAACCGGTGGTTTCTTGCTCTTCCTGCCCATCAAAACTGGGAAAGTTCCTTTAAAATCATCAGCTGGTCTCCAGAAGACGTACGATTTGTGAAGCTGTGATGTGGAGGAATGTCCTCCAACAGGCAACGTGTTGCCAACTGGGATTGCTAGAAGGAATAATAGGAAAAATGAGGGTGGTGAGACCCTGGCCCAGGTAGATGTCCCATCCCTGGAGGGGTTCAAGGCCAGGTTGGACGGGGCTCGGAGGAACCTGGTCTGGTGGGAGGTGTCCCTGCCCAGGGCAGGGGGTGGACTAGATGGCCTTTAAAGGTCCCTTCCCACCCAAACCATTCCACAATTCGATGAAAAACCAGCAGAGACACCGTTGAAGATGAAAACTTCATCACTTGGTCGCTGTAAAGTACGAAGAATGAAAATACTAACGACCCGTGCTGACCTGACTCTTCCAATTAGAAGCAGAAGTCTCTTATCTCATTACCCTTGCTCTGAGCTGCCCCTTTTCTGCTGCTGTTCCACATCGTTTCAAACAAGTAATCTTCCTCACCGGGGAAATTAATTGTTTTCTGCGCCGTTTGGGAGCAATTAATACGCCCAAGGACGCGCCGTGATGTTCAACGGCGTCTACGATTGGAGACCATGGAGAGGGACCCACCCAACAGCTCAACTTTGGAGCCGAGGGGATGTTTTGACGTTGTGCTGGGCAAAGAACTTACATTTTGGTAAAAAAAAACCCTGCAAAACTCAGATAATTGCTACCTGCTCCAACGAAGATTTGGGGGGATCAGGGGGTTGGAATACCAGAGCGCTCTCAGCGTTGCGTATTACGCGCCGCACACACATTATGTGGGGGCTGAAATGAGATTAGAGCCCTAATATCTTTAATTAAAGGCGATTGACTTCATCCTCCTGCTGTTTCATAACTTTCCAAAGAGGTTGTGCAGAGAAGAAACAAGATTTGCTTTTTCACTCAGGCTGTAACGGGGACGGGTTCCCCTTTTTCACCCACACTGATGATGATACTACAGACATGAGTGGATCCTCATCTAAAATATTAACAAAGCTAAAATTTGCTGAATTTGGGCTTTTACCTGGTCTTTTCTGGGTTAGGACATGGGCTACAGGTGTCTCCTTTTCCCCCCAACATTCTTCCCCTGGGTAACAGTGCCCGAGACCTGCTGCTGGTTTCATTTTTCTTTGAAATAATACGATTTGTGTTAAAACACTGTGGCTCTGTGGATACTGACCCCACTTGTGAAGCTTTCATTAATCAACTTTTTGGGTGATTTGAGATGGTATTTCAGAGACTGTCCATCCCATCAGGTAATGGTCTGGTGGGAGGTGTCCCTGCCCATGGTGGGGGGGTTGGAACTCAATGATCTTTAAGGTCCCTTCCAACCCAAACCATTCTATGATCCTATGATTAATTGGATATTTCTAAATTGCAGGTGTTTGGAATCCTTTCACAGAATCATATGGGGTTGGAAGGGACCTCTGGAGATCATCTAGTCCAGTTGTACAGTCCTTTCTGTTCTTGTTTTTCATTTTACAGGAAAGCAAGGGCAAAATTTACTATTCTATATTAGTACGCTGTTATACTACGATAACAATAAGAATTTAATTACCGTAGTGATATATGTACTGCGATGTGTTATACGTGTGAAACAGTAAGGAGCCATCTCCATATGGAAAATCTGTCCACCATCTAGGCGTGGGCTTTTTTTTTGTTCAAAAAAAAATGACTTTCGCCTCCCCCCGAACCAAGATCTATGGCTTTAAAGAAACCTCTGCGCGGATTTAGCCGCCTTCGAGGCAATAAATCCTCCTCGAACCACCGAATCCTTCTGGAGCCCTCGATATACAAGAGCTTGGAATTGTATAAAGTGGAGAAATTTCAGCAATGCATAATTCTCCTCCCTAAGCAGATTAAGACCCGAGCGGGTCTTGGGGAGCCTGGCACACCCGCAGCCCCAGCGCTAAGCTTTTGGGTGGGTTTTTTTTTCCTTTGGGATCGTTCAAGCGAGCTTCGTATCAGCCAGAAGGGAAAGTAATCGGCTCGCTGGGTGCTGCAGGAAGGGTTTAACTCCTTGGTTTGGGTTTTCTGGGGTGAAAACGCTAACAGAGCCTTTGGAATGCTGGGTAGAGGAGGAGTTGGCCTTCACCCCAAGTTCTCTGAAGGGGCTCTTGGAGGTCTGGATGTCCCTGGAAGGCTGTAGTGGGGGGTGATAAAAGCATGGGTTCAACCATGCCATTCTTCATAGAATCATAGAAGGTTTTGGGTTGGAATGGACCCTAAAGGCCATCTAGTTCCAACCCCCTCCCATCAGGCCAGGTTTCTCCAAGTACCCTCCAACCTGGCCTTGAACCCCTCCAGGGATGGGGCAGCCACAGCTTCTCTGGTATCAATCTGCGCTGGAGGTCTGGATGCCCCTGGAAAGGTGCAGCTCTTTGGGAGCATTGGTGGGAAGTGATAAGACCATGGGTTCAACCACACCATTCTTCCTATGACATTGTCTAAGAAACCCTCACCCTTCCTGTTACTGAATTTCTTTGGCACAGAATTGGGGTAGAAAGTTGGGAATCTGTTGGGTAGAACGACTCCCTTGGGTGTTTGGTGGAGATCATTCCCTCTGGGAGACCATGCCTGGGAGAGAAGCGAGCTCACATGCCCAGCAACACATCACCCAAAGCCAGGAGCTGTTGAGTTTGACTGTGCAATGGTTCCCAGGTAGAGATTCAACCAAGTCTCTTCTGGTGGTGTGGAAGAAGGAGAGCTCCTCATCAAGACAGGAAAGAGAGCACATCTTCATCTGTGATGCCCTCACACATGCATGTCATTTCCTAGTGATGCACCATGTTGGCCAACTCCACTGAGGCTGTCATGGATAGTCTGCTCTACAAAGGTGGTCTTCTTCTGCTGTAAGAAATAATTTGATGCCAGGTCTTGCGTTCATTGTAGAAGGATCACATGATCTGCAGAGTAAAGACTTGGAGTAAAACTTCAGGGTAATTTCACAAGGAAAGGAGGATGACCATGTAGATGAGGCTCTTGCGTTGGGTCCCAAGGTGTGGCTCCTGCCAGAGAGGAGGAGGAGGAGGTGGTGGCAGCAGTGAGGAGCTCATCTGGACCAAGGGCCCCATGTTCCAGGTGCTTTGTCTCTGGAAAGGAAAGAGGATTGATGCTTTTCTAGTTCATCTCCAAGCCTGAGATGTTGCTTTGACTGCTGATGCCTAGAAGATGAAAGAGGTTGGTCTCCCACGTGGGAGAATTTTCCAGAGGAAAACATGGCACAAATAGTCTCTTCAGCTGATCCTGATAAACTGGAAGCAGAAGTGGTGGCTAATTCATCACGGCTCAAGTCAAAAATGGACTCTACGTGTGATTTTAGTCATCAAAATAGATGGGGAGGGGGATTTCTAACTCCATGAAGGGCTCTTCAGTAAATCTCCGTGTGTCGGCCATGGACTAGTTGCCTAACCAGAAGTTTGGAAGACACTGGTAGGAAAGGAAGGCAGTTATTGATGACAACTGTAATTAATTCTGTGTTCACATGCACATCCATGCCCACGTATCATCTTAAACAAGAAGCATGAACTGATTCTCTGAGACCCTGTAGGCTCCCTGCTATGGAGAGAAGTGGTGCCATCTTTCTTCCTCTTCTCTTATCAAAAGAGCAAGAGGGAGGAGGGGCTAAAGAAGATGCAGAAGAACATCTCCAAGTGTTTGTAATAGAAAAAAAGGGGGAAATCCAAGGGCTGGATGGAGCTGTCTGTAGATTTTACAGAGATGTTGTTTGGAAGGAACCACCAAGGTCATCTCACCCCACTACCCACTTGAAACAGGACATGGCCAGCACAGGGTCAGGGGAGCCATGTCTTTCTCTAACCAATTCCTGAAGTCAGAGAATCATGGAATTGCCTGGATTGTCCTCCAAGGATGCAGAGCCACCACCTCTCCAGGCAACCGGTGCCAACGTTGCGTTGTCCTCCTGATGAAGAAGATCCTTCCCACTATCCCACGTGAACCTCCCAAGCAGCAACTTGTGGCTGTTGCCCCTGTTGAGGAACGTCAAAATTGAGGAAATCCAAGGGCTGGGAATACCACCATAGGTTGTGTATCCATCTCTTAATGTTTTGGAAGAGTGAGAGCATAAATAGACATTTTTGTTGGTTGTCTGAGAGCTGTAAAGGCTTAAGATTCAGGAATAGAGATGGGAGAGGCCACAGAGGAGCTGCAAAGCATGAGGAGATGAGCCCATGGGTAGTGCTCGAGCTGATTACCTTTGGGATGGGGTGGCAGTAGAGGGAGATGAGAGTGAGGAGGTCATTGCAGGTAAAAACTGTGGGGAAATGGTCGTCGTAAGGAGAAGAGGAGATGGAGTTGGCAACAAGCACATGGAGGAGCCCATCCATGGACACATCCAGCAGATCCTCTGCGCCTTTCCACCGCGGGCGGTTCGGCTTTTGGGAATGTTTTGTTTTGTCTCTGACCTCCTTTTCTTCCTCCAGCTGCCTCCTACACAGACAGCTCTGACGATGAGACCTCCCCCCGGGACAAGCAGCAGAAGAACTCCAAAGGCAGCAGTGATTTTTGTGTGAAAAACATAAAGCAGGCAGAATTCGGGCGCCGAGAGATTGAAATTGCCGAACAAGGTAAATGGGGCGCCTTCCTCAAGCTCCTGAGGTGTCCTCTGGGGTTCTTCCTTCCCCCAAATCCTCTTCTTGCGAGGTTCAGCAAATCAATGGTTCCTTGACACCCTCCCTGTTAGAGGTGGGAGAACTTTCCCCCATCCTTGATGGGATTTTGTGGGATGGAAAGGAGCTACAGGGTTGTGCCGTGTAGCTCCAGGAACCAGCTGCTGAAGGACTACTCCGTAGCCAAAGGTGTTTTGTTAAAGTCAGCAGAAAAGATGAAACCCATCAAATAAATTGCACAACTCTGGTTTAGTGGGATTGTCTCCAGAGACCCGTAGCAAAGGCGGTGTGGTGTTGAGGTGGATGGAGAGGCTGACCCAAGTGGTGGGTTCCAGGTCCTCCTCGGTCTGAAGCAGGTTTTCCTCCAGCCTCACGGTGGAAATTTGAAAATGTGATGATGCTACATCTTAAATCATAGGAAAAGACCTCAGTTACAGAGGGTTATTGGGTCCTTTTCAGCCGTGCCGTGACTTACTTGATCCCTGCTCCTCAAGGTTGGGTTTTTTGCTATTTTTGAAGCTGCTGCAGGTGTAGAAACCCATAAATCATCCCAGATGGCAGGGCAAGAAGCGACGCTCATCCTTCTTGATGGCCTCCTTTCATTTTGCCTTCCAGAAATGCCTGCTCTGATGGCTTTGAGGAAGAGAGCTCAGGGAGAGAAGCCGCTGGCCGGGGCCAAGATCGTGGGCTGCACACACATCACAGCGCAGACGGCCGTAAGACCCCCTCAACAAACCCCAGACACAGGGATTTTTCCACTGCTTAGCTTCTAAAATAGACTCTGAGCTGTTAAAATACATATAAATATGTATTTTATATATATCTAAATGTATATAAAAAATATATATAAATATGCATAAAAATATATATAAATATATATATAGACACACACATACCCACACACATGTATATGCTGCATATGAAATATACTTTGAAGTTCATACTTCTAAATTGTAAAAAAGAAAAAGGAATTGCAAGATTCTTTTCCCTGCACCTCTGCAACGACCCTGATGCTGCTTCAAACCAGCTCCCCAGGTGCCCCCCACCCCTCCCCATAAAATAACCGATAAAAATCCCAGCTGTGTGTTGCTTTTTGCTTTGTATAAATCTCTCCTCGTGGCTCTTTCTGATTTATTTTTGCTTTGATCCAGGTGCTGATGGAGACCCTGGGCGCGCTGGGGGCGCAGTGCCGATGGGCTGCCTGCAACATCTACTCTACCCTCAACGAAGTGGCTGCTGCCCTGGCCGAGAGCGGTAGGAAACTTCACCCTCTTTATTTCTCCTGCTTTTTTAAAAGATTTCACTCTGCCCCATCCGAGTAGCAGCCCTGAGGAAAGGGACTTGGGGGTGCTGGTGGATGAGAAGCTGGACATGAGCAGGCAGTGGGCACCTGCAGCCCAGAAGGCCAATCCCATCCTGGGCTGCATCAAAAGAAGCGTTGCCAGCAGGTCCAGAGAGGTGATTCTGCCACTTTACTCTGCTCTGGTGAGACCTCACCTGGAGTATTGTGTGCAGGTCTGGAGCCCTCAATATAAGAAGGACATGGACCTGATGGAGAGGGTCCAGAGGAGGGCCACAAGGATGATCAGGGGGATGGAGCACCTCTGCTACAAGGACAGGCTGAAGGAGTTGTTCAGCCTGGAGAAGAGGAGGCTCCGGGGAGACCTAATAGCAGCCTTCCAGTCCCTGAAGGGAGCCTACAGGAAGGCTGGGGAGAACCTGTTTAGAAAGGCCTGCAGTGACAGGACGAGGGGCAATGGCTTCAAGCTGGAGGGGAACAGATTTAGACTGGAGATGAGGAGAGGGTTCTTCACTGTGAGGGTGGTGGAGCACTGGAACAGGTTGCCCAGGGAGGTGGTTGAGGCCCCTTCCCTGGAGATATTCAAGGGGAGGCTCGATGAGGCCCTGGGCAACCTGGTCTAGTTGGGGGTGTCCCTGCTGACTGCGGGGAGGTCGGACTAGATGACCCTTGGAGGTCCCTTCCGGCCTGGGCAATTCTATGATTCTATTTAGCTCCTTTACCACATCTTACAGTTTTTTTCCTTTGTTCTCCCCAATTCAGAATAAACCTATCGGAGGGTAAACAAGAGCAATCCCTTGGTCTGAAAACCTTAGAATGATTTTTCTCTGGTTTATAAAAGTGCTGCACGTTATGAGCCATTGGGACTGTACGACCCTGAAAGACTCTTTGCCAAAAGAAACTAAGCTGAATTTGAGTTCAGTTCCCATAAATTTGAGGCATAGCTTTGGCTAAAAGGGATGAAAGAGAGAAATTTTTTTTGGGGGGGGGAGGGAGAACATAATGGACAAGGCAGAAGTTGCCCGTGTTGGTGCTCAACTGGGAGAAGCCTTAATTCACATCCTGGTTTACCTGGGTAAGGCCAGGGGTTTTACTGTGAGAGTCAGGAGACCCAGAAAAAGCTGAACCCACCAGGTGTCCCTCTTACCTGGTCTTGCTCGCTGAAGCTGAGTGATAATTTCTCCTGAGTCAGAGTACATTCAAGTAAATTGGTGACTAAGGTGGCTGGGAGGAAAGCAGGACTCCTAACTCCCAGCAAAACCTGGATTTTGGAAATAAATGTCATCGTTGAGAGCGTGTCGCCCTCTGGGCTGGTGACTAGAGCTTTTTCTTGGGGGGAAAGGAGGAAATTGGGGAGGATGAAGCTGATTCCTATCAGTGGGTGTCTTCAATGTGTATCTCCGAAGCTTCCTCTGGAAGGTAGACGTTGAAAAATGAGTGGGGTCAGGAGCGTGGTCGGTCACGCGTGGATGGAGGGAGAGCTGATCCCCAAGGGAGTTGCCAAGGCTGTGTTTTAGCACCCCTCTCCCTCTCTCTGCCCAGGGTTCCCTGTCTTTGCCTGGAAAGGAGAATCTGAAGATGACTTCTGGTGGTGCATCGATCGCTGCGTCAACGTGGAAGGGTGGCAGCCCAACATGGTGAGACGGGGCCGGCTCTCGGAGCCCGGGTAGCTCTCCTCTAGAGAAGAGGAGGAGGAGGAGGGTTTGGTGCTGCTCTGTGTTTTCCTCTTGAATTTAGACCTGATTTAGCAGCGAAGTCTTGGTTCTAACACAGTAATTACCTTCAAAAGGCTTTACAATTAACTATGCAATGTGGGGAAATGAACTTATCTCAGTCTCACGGGTGTAAAGTGGGGGAGAAGGTGGGTCAAATGACTTCTGGGGGTGTATTGTCCCTGCCAAGCAAGGTTTTCTTCAACTATTCTCTCAATAAACGTGGCTGCATTAGTGCAAAGTTTTATCAGGAGCTTCCAAAGTAGATTTCGTACAGTTTAAACCAAACTCATTCAATCTCGCCGGTAAAAAAGGACCCAAAATCAGTATCTTCTGAAAAGGGCTCGCATATTGATAAAATTCACAGCTTTGCTTGACGTGATGTTTCTTAGAGAAGAAAAAAAATTAAGATTTTGAGGTGATGTCCTTACTGCAGGAACACAAAACCTCAGGTAAACCCGACGTGGCTGGTTTATTCTGCCCTTGTTTCTGGGGAAAACGGAGAACCCAGAATGAGGGGAGCGGAATAATTTGCAGCTGTCAAACCTGCTGTTCTTATCCTGCTTCCCGACAGGTTTTGAGCTAAATTAGTTGAAAAGTAGTCAAAGGCGGAAGCTGGGTGTGTATCTGCGTTGTTTGTTTGCCAATATCGGCTTGTTTGAGGTGGGTTTTTTGGTCCCTTCCAGCCCACACCTGCTCGTTTCCTCGCTGTCACCTTTAAAAAGGAATTGTGAATGTCAAAAATAATCCGCCCCCGAGCTACGAGTCTTGAGTCTAGACATGAGAGCTGCTTTCTTCTTCTTTTTTTGAGGAATGATTTCCCATCAAAAATGCCAGTAATTGGAGAAGCCGAGGTACCGGAATCTGCACGTTGTGCTTTCCCAGGAACCTCCTCAGACCTGTCTCTGTCCATCAGGGTACTTTCAGACCTGCTTCTGGAGCAGAGAAATTATCGTTGAGGGGCACCAAATGCCTCAGATCTAAGCAGTTCCTGAAGATCTGCTTATCAGATTTTGGAGGTCCATGTGTTAAGAGATAAGAAATGGGAGGCTGGAGACATTGGGTGAAGAACGGGTGTGGGAAGGATCTTCATAGAATCACAGAATGGATTGGGTTGGAAGGGACCTTAAAGATCATCCAGTTCCAACTCCCCTGCCCTGGGCAGGGACACCTCCCACCAGACCAGGTTGCTCCAAGCCCCCTCCAACCTGCCCTTGAACCCCTCCAGGGATGGGGAAGCCACAGCTTCTCTGGCCAACCTGGGCCAGGCTCTCACCACCCTCACAGCAAAGAAGTTCTTCCTCATATCTAACCTAAATTCCCCCTCTTTGAGTTTAAAATCATTCCCCCTTGTCCTATCAAAGCTGTTCAGCAGCCAACTTAATATCAGGGCTTGAAATACACCCCAGGTCCTGTTCAGCGTTGCTTCAGTGTCATCCACCAGTCCTATGTCCAGGAAGCCATCTCAAGGTGTGATGGAGTTGACCTTGTACATAACCCTGCAAATAAACAGAAGTGCCTTTCAGCCCAAAAATTTGAATATTCAGTGTTTGGGCTGCTCTATGGGAACAGTCACAAATCCTGAGAGTCTCCAAACAAAAAGACACGTTGGGTGTTCCAATGGGAACAGCAGCCCTGTAGAGGAGCGCTCTGTCTGGCCAGGAATGGCTCAGAGGGGTTTTTTCCCTGAAAAATATGGAATCTGTAAGAAGTTCCATCTAAACATGAGGAAAAACTTGTTTGGTGTGAGAGTGGCAGAGCCCTGGCAGAGGCTGCCCAGAGAGGTGGTGGAGTCTCCTTCTCTGGAGACATTCAAACCCACCTGGACACGTTCCTGTGGGACCTGCTCTGGCAGGGTGTTGGACTAGATGATCTCCAGAGGTCCCTTCCAACCCCATATCGTTCTGTGATTCTGTGAAAAGCACTGAAACACCTACCAATGGGAAATGGAGACTCCAAATCAGTCAAAAACCACGAAAATTCAGACTGAGAACTGCTGTGGAGGAGCGGGACTAGGTAGATATCTCCAGTGCTTGGGTCAGAGGATGGTCCCATCTCCAAAGAGATGGTCCCATCTCCTTGCAGGCACGGGGTGATAGGAGGATGTTTTTTTACAGAGCACGACCACTCCGGCACCTTCTGTCATTCTGTGATTCTGTGAAAAGCACTGAAACACCTACCAATGGGAAATGGAGACTCCAAATCAGTCAAAAACCACGAAAATTCAGACTGAGAACTGCTGTGGAGGAGCGGGACTAGGTAGATATCTCCAGTGCTTGGGTCAGAGGATGGTCCCATCTCCAAAGAGATGGTCCCATCTCCTTGCAGGCACGGGGTGATAGGAGGATGTTTTTTTACAGAGCACGACCACTCCGGCACCTTCTGTTCCGAGGTGGAGGTGCCAAAATCAAGAGGGAGGTTGATGACCCATGGCTGGGAACGTCATTCTGCAGATGGTGCCCCTTGGTGGGCATCAGGCAGCGGCACCGAGAGGCAGAGCAAGGTTCACATCTACCACGACTGGGTTTCTCTATGCAAAATTCATTGCACATCAAATAAAGACATTTTGGGTCTTTTTCTGAAAAAAAAACCTCTGCCTGGGAAGAGTTTGAACGAAGGCAGATAAATTGTGTAAAGCTGGGAAAACTGCAGGAATATGGGGCTTTGCCGTTGGCCGTTCACGGCTGCCACAACCAAGGTGACCTTCCATCAACAACTAGTTCCTCCACGGATTTCATTTGGTTTTTTTTTTTCATCTCCTGCCCTCCCAGGAAAGAGGAAACCGCCAACCCCCAGAATTCTCTCTCAGAAAGAGGATTATGTGCCCTATTAAATGGGGATTAATGAAACGAAGACGTCCTGGGAGCCAAGGCTGCTGAATTCCTACCTCAGCTGGCCCAGGAGAACTTCTCAGCCCACTTAACCCTTAATTACCTGCCTCTGCTTCCCAGCCTGCAAACTCTGCCTGGGAAGAGTTTGAACGAAGGCAGATAAATTGTGTAAAGCTGGGAAAACTGCAGGAATATGGGGCTTTGCCGTTGGCCGTTCACGGCTGCCACAACCAAGGTGACCTTCCATCAACAACTAGTTCCTCCACGGATTTCATTTGGTTTTTTTTTTTCATCTCCTGCCCTCCCAGGAAAGAGGAAACCGCCAACCCCCAGAATTCTCTCTCAGAAAGAGGATTATGTGCCCTATTAAATGGGGATTAATGAAACGAAGACGTCCTGGGAGCCAAGGCTGCTGAATTCCTACCTCAGCTGGCCCAGGAGAACTTCTCAGCCCACTTAACCCTTAATTACCTGCCTCTGCTTCCCAGCCTGCAAACGGGAGGTGGATCTGGGGCTTCCCTGGAGACTCAAGGGTCTTGTCTACGTGGAAGGCTCTGGTAGGACACCCCGTGCTTCCTGGGCATTCGTGGAGGAGCAGCTGCTGCCCCCAGCATTCGAATTCATTGGGAAATCCTGCAATTTAGAGAGAAAAAGGTTGTGATAGTACGTAGCATTTCCAAGCCTACGGATGTCAGACTGGTGGCTCCGTGCAGCCACCACGTCGTATCATGACAAAGCTTAGGAACATCATTTTTGTGCCCACAATGGGGCTTCTGCTGCAGGAGCATGGTGGGAGCACTGGGTTTTTCTGGGTGACTGCAGATGGTGGTGGGAGAGCAGCAGAGGGTCCCTGCCAGGCTCCACCACCGGCCAACGAGCAAAGGTTCTTCTGCCCAGGTTTGACATTTGTGTTGTAGGACACCTGCCCACCACACCAGGGGGTTAATAAGGGCTGGCTGGGCAGTCAGAAGTCTTACACGTTGGTGTAGGGAACTTGCGAAGAGGAAGAAGAGGAGGAGGATGCAGTCAGAACTCTTGAATGTTGGTGTAGGGAACATGCAAAGAGGAGGAGGAGGAGGAAGGGGATGAGGAGGATGCAGTCAGAAGTCTTTGACACTTTGATGTTGGTGTAGGGAATATGCAAAGAGGAGGAGGAGGATGATATGGATGATGATGGTGATGGTGCAGTCAGAAGTCTTTGATATTGGTGATGGGGAACATGCAAAAAAGATGATGATGCAGTCAGAAGTCTTTGATGTTGGTGTAGGTAATATGCCAAGAGGATGATGATGGTGATGATGCAGTCAGAAGCCTTTGACATTGCTGACATGCAAAGAGGAAGATGATGATGATGGTGACAGGGAATTTGCAAAGAGGAGAAGGATGATGACACAGTCAGAAGTCTTCGACGTTAGTGTAGGGAATATGGAAAGAGGAGGATGATGGTTGATGGTGATGGTGCAGTCAGAAGTCTTTGATATTGGTGATGGGGAACATGCAAAAAAGATGATGATGCAGTCAGAAGTCTTTGATGTTGGTGTAGGTAATATGCCAAGAGGATGATGATGGTGATGATGCAGTCAGAAGCCTTTGACATTGCTGACATGCAAAGAGGAAGATGATGATGATGGTGACAGGGAATTTGCAAAGAGGAGAAGGATGATGACACAGTCAGAAGTCTTCGACGTTAGTGTAGGGAATATGGAAAGAGGATGATGATGGTGATGATGATGATGCAGTCAGAAGTCTATGCCAAGAGGATGATGATGGTGATGATGCAGTCAGAAGTCTTTGACGTTGGGGACATGCAAAAAGAAGGATGATGATGGTGGTAGGAAACATGCAAACAGGAGGAGGATGATGGAGTCAGAATTCTTTGGTGTTGGGGACATGCAAAGACGAGGATGATGGTCATGATAGGAAACACTCAAAGAGGATGATGATGATGCAGTCAGAAGTCTATGACGTTGGTGTAGGGAATATGCAAGCAGGATGATGAGGATGATAATAATAAATAATTATACTAATTTGGGGCAGTGCTCTCTCAGCCAGCACAGGTCCTTGGCACTTCACCTGCCGCTCGGTGAAATCTGCTCCCTGTTTTTTCTTGAGTCTGAGTCTAATGGGGGTTGTCACTTCCCACCTTGCTTGGGTGCTCCTTAGGCCACCTGATGCCACCATGGTGGCCAGAGGACTCAGCGAAAAGCACATGTTTGGCCTTAGGCCACCTGATGCCACCATGGTGGCCGGAGGACTCAGGGAAAGGCACATGTTTGGTTTTTTTCCTTTCCTTGGATCTTTTCTTCTGTCGCAGACTCCTCTTTGTGGTGCCCCAGTGGGTCCTTCTTTGAAGGTCCAGAGCTCAGCACCCTCCTTGGGCTCGGCTGTGTGTTGAGATGTAGCAGGAGATGACATGAATTTCATGTCTGTCCTTTCCACGGCTCTTTTTCAAAGGGCACTTTTACTTGCTCATCTTTAACATTTTTATTAAATTAGTCAGTCTCTGGCTTTCTCCACCGCCCTGAAATGGGTCTTTAGGAGGAAACAGGTGGCTCGGGAGACTTGGGTTCCCATCAAGAAGAGTTTTGTACTTCTGAGTGAGAGGTTCAAAGCCAGATGAAATGGGCAGAGACCCACAGTTATTGTCTAAAAGAGATTCACTATTTTTAATGCACAGTGGTTTATGATGCAGTTGCATTATAATTGGCATCAGTGGCTCTGCACCCTCCTCCTCCTCCTCCCTCCTCCTCCTTCTCCATCTTTCTCTTTCTCTATCCTCTTCCATCCTCTTCTTCCTCCATTCTTCACCTCCATCCGCCTCCTCCATCCTACTCCTCTATCCTCCTCCTTCTTCATCCTCATCCTCCTCCTGCTTCATCCTCCTCCTGCTTCATCCCCCTCCTGCTTCATCCTCCCCCTCCCCCATCCGCCTCCTCCTCCATCCTCCCTCCTCCATCCCCCTCATCCTTCTTCATCCTCCTTCTCCATCTTCCACCTCATCCTTCTCCATCCTCCTCCTTCTCCATTCTCTTCCTCCTTCTCCATCCTCCTCCTCTTCCATCCTCCTCCTCCATCCTCCTCCTCCATCCCCGTCTTTCTCCATCCTCTTCCTCTTCCATCCTCCTCCTTCTTCATTCTCCTTCTCCCTCCTCCTCCATCCTCCTCCTCCATCCCCGTCTTTCTCCATCCTCTTCCTCTTCCATCCTCCTCCTTCTTCATTCTCCTTCTCCATCCTCCTCCATCCTCCTCCTCCATCCCTGTCTTTCTCCATCCTCTTCCTCTTCCATCCTCCTCCTTCTTCATTCTCCTTCTCCATCCTCCTCCTCCATCCTCCTCTTCCATCCTCCTTCTCCATCCTCCTCCATTCTCCTCCTCCTTCTCCATTCTCCTCCTCCTTCTCCATCCTCCTCCCTCCTCCATCAGCAGTCACATTAGAAAAGCTGATGACTGTCCATCTGTGCTTCTGGGAGATGGGGAGAGAGGAGCTTCCACAGCAATTTTCCATGTTTCCCCTGGTCTCATTATGAACATCAAGGTCTGTCGTGTTTGTCGTGACCTATTGCCCTTCCAGCTCAATATCAATGAAGCACCACCCCTGTGCAGAGTGGTCAAGCAGAATAGTCTCACCTGTCTCTCAGCTGTCAAGATGTGGTGTTTGAGATGCCAAAACACGGGGTTGATTAGGAATGATTTGAGCGTGTCATTTATCCCTTGGACCTTTGGGGGCCCTTCAGGATCTTCAGAGCGGTGACTTTGTGGTTATTTTTGTTACAGATCTTGGATGACGGGGGAGATCTGACTCACTGGATTTACAAGAAATATCCCAACATGTTTAAGAAGATCAAGGGGATCGTAGAGGAGAGCGTGACTGGTGTCCACAGGTAAGGGGGCAGTCTGGGCTGTGAGCACAGTGGAGGTGTTGGATCTTCTTGTGTGGAGGTGTTGGATCTTCTCCCTCAGGGCAGAGGTACCAGAAGATCCCCAGGCTGTAAGATGCCACAGACTCGGTGAATGTTGAACCTCCTACTACGTGGTCTGTGGTTTCCCTTCATCTTGGGCTTGGCTTTGCCATAAGAGCTGTTTTAAACCTCTCCTGCAGTCAAAGCAACTTGGAACTACTGCCCTGAATTTCAGACCAGGAGTAGAAGCACCTACTGACCATTGCTCCAGTGGGAAAAGCGCACGAGGTCTTGTTTTTCATAGAATCATAGAATGGTTTGGGTTGGAAGGGACCTCAAAGATCATCAAGTTCCAACCCCCTGCCATGGGCAGGGACACCTCCCACTAGAGCAGGTTGCTCAAGGCCCCATCCAGCCTGGCCTTGAACACTTCCAGGGATGGTTTTTCTGTCTGTGAAATCCTGGCCTTGAACACCTCCAGGGATGGTTTTTCTGCCTGTGAAACGGGGGCAATGGTTTTCTCACCTCGTTTTGCAGATGAAAAAACGGAAGGGGTGAGGATGAGGGTGTTGCACAAGAAAGGGTGGGCTTTGGAGGAAGCCAAAAGCGTAATCCTGAACTAGATCGACGGGAAGAAGTGAGATTTGGGAAGAGGAAGTGAGTCTTCAGTTGGGGTGGGAGCCCAGAAAGGGACAACCACAGAGATGCAGCCTTATAAGCGAGCGACATCGCTCTGCAGCAGCAGAATTGGGGTGGGAGAGGTGGCTCCCAGGGTTAGGAGAAGTCAGAGGTGCTTTTCCAGTGGCGTTAATCCTGTCACAGGTGACAGAAAACAGGGGACGAGCAGCAGATTCTGCTTTTTTGATTTATTTTTTGCAGGGAGAAAGGCTTGGCTGCAGCTGTGGGAGCTGGCTGAGAGTTTGGCCAGAGGTGCAGGCAGCTCTCCAAACAGGGAAACGAGATATTTCAAACAAGGAAGCGACCGATTCAGGTTTGCAGCCAGTGGGGTCAAGAAAAGGACCTGATAATATTTTTAGCCTCAGGAATCGCTCCAAATACGGGCAAAAAAGGACGTGCAGGAGCAAGGCGATGCTCAAAACCGTTCCCTGCAGCCTCGTGCCAGGAGGGAGGTTGTCTTCTGAGGTTGGTGGTGTCCCTTTACCTCCAGGGGACAGGCAGCCTGGAGACTGAGGCTCCCCAGATGACAAAGCAAGCGTGAGGGGGACTCTGGAGGTGGTCTGCAGAGACTTGACCGAGGGAGCAGGTTCTCCTGCCCGAGGTCTGGAGCAGGGAGACGATTTGCAGATTCTTTTCATCTCTGTAGTGTAGAGTTTAGATTGATTTTTCGTGGTTTTGCTGCTGCCAGGCATTGAGTCTGCTCTCAGAAGTAGGAGGTCACGTTGATGTCTTCCCCACCCTGGGTTGCTGCTTCTGCCTCTTCTGTTTCTTCTCCTACATCTCAGCGATTACACTCCTCCTGCTGTCTGAGTGGGTGTTTCGCTGCAGGGGTTGATCACAGCAGCTTCACATTTCTGTGAATGTGACTCTTCTGTGGCCATTCCTATTCCTCTTGAGCTGTAAGAGCTTGAGGGAATTGCAGGAGCTCTCATCTCATCGTTATCTGAAGCAGGGTTTGGGGGTTTGTCCTTTTGAAGACATCAGAGGGTGGTTGCAATTTCAACATTTATGAGGCACGTGGAGTCTGGAGCACCTTCTGACCTGCTCTTTGACGTTTTTATGAAATGCCTATTGCCAACCTGGTAGTTCTCCAGTAGAGGAGGAGAAGGGATACAAGCATCTGTGGAAGGAAGAGGGCTGTTTCTCCTCCTGGAACGAGGAGCTCCTATTGAAAGGTCATCTTTGACCCTCCAGATGTCTACTGCTCGCTCCAGAGAAACAAGGACCTTGAGACCACGCAACAGTAGAGTTTAGGAAAATATTTTTCCATTGATCATCTGTTTCTTCTCGTATTCCTCACAGGCTGTACCAGTTGTCCAAAGCGGGGAAGCTCTGCGTCCCAGCCATGAACGTCAACGACTCGGTCACAAAGCAGAAGTTTGACAACCTCTACTGCTGCAGAGAGTCCATCCTGGACGGGTAGGTACCAGCCCACCCAAACGGGCCCACGGCCCTTGCTCAAGTTGTATTGGACCCAACAGGGAACTGGGTCCATGTAGGTCCATCCTACCTACCTATTTAGACCATTTTAGATGTGTCAGAGGAGAACAAAGACCCTTTATTCACCCTGGTCCATCCTGTTTGTATCACAGACGGGAATCTTCAAGGCATTTTGAGGCAGCAGCTACATCTCTACAGGCCAGAAGGTCCTAAGACTTATTTGTACAATGGTGTGCAAAGCTCTGCAAGTCTATGCACACCTGAAAACAAAAGTTTAATTTTGTGTTTGTAGGAGAATGATCTCACAGCAAAGACTTTAGCACCTCTAGAAGCCGGGATTCAGTGTTTTTAACCCGGCTACATCCATGAATGGGGCACATCACTCAAATTCTCCCTCTGCTCCTCCTCTTGGGGAAAGCATGTCGTCTTCTGTGAAGACACATCAGATATTTTATTGGCCATAGTGATATCAGGCACTTCTCAGCGCCCTTCGAAGGACCAGCACCAGTGACAGTGACCTGTTTTTCCAGCCGTGCCCAGTGACAGGACAAGAGGGAACAGGCACAAACTTGAACATAAGAAGTTCCACCTAAACATGAGGAGGAACTTCTTCCCTTTGAGGGTGGCAGAGCCCTGGAAGAGGCTGCCCAGAGAGGTGGTGGAGTCTCCTTCTCTGGAGACATTCAAACCCCCCCTGGACACATTCCCGGGGGACCTGCTCTGGGTGGACCTGCTCTGGCAGGGGGTTGGACTGGATGATCTCCAGAGGTTCCTAGATGATCTCCAGAGGTTCCTTCCAACGCCCCATCATTCTGAAATTCTGTGATTCAACGAGCCTTTGTGCTCTCAGGGTGATGTTGCCCTTCCATGTGTGTAGGTGACTTGCCTTGTGAGCGTGACCACCTCTTCCTGTTGTGTGAGGACCTCACAAGTCCTCACATATGGCTACAATTCTCCTTCCCATCCCTCTTACCTCCGTGGCATCAGGATAAAACCCATCTGTGTCTGCTGCCTGTGTGTGAGTCAACCAGCTGCTTCATCACGTCTGTTTGCCTTTCTGGGTTTTTTCCAGTTTTTCTAGTTTCTAGGGCTTTTTTTTTTTTTTTTTTTTTTTTTCTTTCCTTTTAAA